GGAGGGGAGGGGAGGGGGAGGGGAGGGGAGGGGAAAAGAAAGAAATTCAACCAGATCCAGCGAACACTGACACTTGTCATAATCTCTTTTGAACATGGGTGATGTCAAGACACAGGATGGCCTTGCCTTCTCTATGACCAAACACTACTCTTGGTGTGACCATGGATAATCTATGCATGATCATAACTGCAAACTCTGTTTGTGGGATTAATTTTTCTAGTAAATCTCTAGTCACAGAAAGAAAAAGTATCACTACAGAATAAAATATAAATGAAAATGAAAAAAGACTAATGGAACAACAAATGAGGAGAGACTGGGAGAAAATATAAATGAAATGAATACCTCACCTTTCACGTTGGGGAATCAACAGATACAATTGATCAAAAAAAAAAAAAAGAAGCGTTAGTGATAATTTAAAGTTATAATAATGTGTATCAGAAATGAAAATCAGAAACTAAAAGGTTAGTTACTAGTTAGTATAAGAAAACTACTTTCTGCTCAAAGTTTTTATAAACCTACAATGGGTCTGAAAAATATCTTTTTTTTTTTTAAAGATTTATTTATTCATGCATACAAGAACTGTGGTACAGGCCAGAGGTGTGGGGTGTGAAAGGACTAACCAGAGACAGAGTGGGGAACAGAACAGGCAGATTAACTGAAATACACTGCTGAGGGGAGCAGCGGGCGAGTCAGGAGGGGTCTGCTGCAGCATGTGGGAAGCTCCCTCGCCAACTGGCCGGGGATCGAACTTGCACTGCAATGGCTGCAGACAGCTTCATAAGTTGCTCCTTAACCCCTTGTGCCACCAGGGAGGCCCTAAAAAAAAAAATGTCTTTTAATTAAGAAAAAGCATAGTGACCTCTATGGAGTCAGTAAGTAGCTTTTCTATAGTTCTAAACACTTCATCATGATGACTTTAATAATATGTTTAACCTTAGAATACATGTAAAGTAACACTGAAACAGGATGGTGCATTCTTGATAAGTATATTTGACCCCTATTATGGTTACTTATATATTAATCTAACCCCCATAAACTCTTTGCAAGTGTATTTATGTATTTCCTATAGAAATTAATAAAATACTTACATTCTTGTATCTTGTATTATAAAAATATAAGAATGTAAAGGTTATTTGTAAAGGTTTTAAATTTTAAAGGTTATTTGTAAAAATTTTAAGGAAATACAAGTATAAAAGCACAACTGTGGATATTTCTTACTATCAACTTTCATCAATCATTTCATTATGTGCAAGGTCTAGTTAGAAGAGATGTTGGATACGAACCAAAGTCGCCTTTGTGCCATCTGCTGCCTGTCTGACCCTGCTTTGCCTGTGACTCTCTTGGCTCTTGACGGCTTTCCTAAACTTGCAGCCTTTCGTGGGCTCTGCCTGGCCATAGCAGTGTTTCTCTGCACCTTCCTGCTGCTTGTTCTGACGTGCAATGGCTTCGTGTGGTCTGGTCTCCAACTGCCCTTCCTTGCTGCCAATACACTGGCTATTCTACACCCTCACCCACGTTGAACTTTCTTGGACCTGCAGTCTTCTGCCTGTCTTGGAGTTGCAGTCCTACTGCACCACTGTCTTTTACTATGATGCTGAGCCCACATTCAACTCTGAGAAGGTAAAATAAGCTGGAAATAAAAGTGTGGAGTGCTGGAAAATTAGGGGAGTATTTTTCGAGAGCGGCTTGATCTAGAACATCTACCTCTGGTGCGGTGATGCCACCTCCTCATGTCAAGCCAAGGGGGAGGAGCTCAGACAGACCCCCTCATTCAGACAGCCTGATATGCTAAGTCCCTTCCTGTTCTCTCCATTTTTCTTCTCTCTCCCTTGATATCACTTCCTGTTAGTCCTTTCTTGACTCTTACCTTTCTTCTTTTGTTCCTTCCCACCCCCTCACCACACGTGTTCATCCATTTTCATCTGCCCCCTCCCTACCATTTACTTCTTCATAATATTAGTTTGAAGTACACTTTATTTGTTATGTCTATTGATTAAAGTTTTATGTCCCCTGCTTTTAATTAACTTATCATTCATCCTGTTTCCATATATTGCTGTTGTACGTTTCAAACAATAGATGTATTGCTGATAAAGCTATTTGTAAATCAATGTTCTGTAAACTGAATCATATTTCAAATGTATTAGAAGAGCTTGCTAGATAAAGGAATCCTATGATGAAAAATTACACAATTCCCAATAATGCATATTTGTATAAATGTAAAGTTTCAGGCAATGGTCGTGTAAAATAAAATGACCTGATTTTAATGTCACCTACTACAAACATTCTGCCCCAATTCTGGTTGATGTCAAGACAGATATTAGATCTTTACAAAATACGTCTATAGAAGGGCCTAAACCATTCTCCTGGGAGGCCCTTCCTTATGAAAATGGAAGTGTTGGAAGACGAGAGATGAATGTGAAAACACTCTAACTCTGCAAATTTACAAAAGGTAAAAATAGAAGAGTGTTCATTCATTACACATATGCATATTTAGTTACTATTATACTCCAGGTACTGGTAAGTACTGAAGATAAAAACTTGATGAAGACATAGTGGTTGCCCTCAAGGACCCACAGTTTAATAGGGGACAGAAACACATACATAAATAATTTCAAAACAATGTCTAAAGTATTATAAGCAATAATAGCATGTGTTTAAAAAAAAAAAAAAAAAAAAGCTCAGCAGTGGCACCAAGTGGGGAAGGTGTCACAGGAACAGAAACTGGGTCTGTTTTGTTTGCAACTTAATTGCCAGCACCTAGCACAGAGCCCCACTTATCTAACACACATAATGAACATTTGTTGTTAAATTGTTGAGTGATCCACTCAGCTGTGGGAAGGATTAGAAGGGCCAAATCAATAAAGGCTTGGAGGAAGAGAACACACATATACTGAGGATAGATATTCTATAGTTAGACAAGAATGGGAACCATATTCCACATGGAAAAAGCCAAGAATGACGTGTAAGTACAGAACACCGTACTTGTAAAAATTAAATTTCAAGCAATCAAAAGCCACTCACAAAAAATTCTCTCATGTTACCAAGAAGAAAGATATCACCTTTTTTTCTTTATACATCTTTGTCTGTTCTTACATTGAGTTGCTTCCTATCTGCCATTTGTGCCTTTGCCCTAATTGATCCCTCAAGGGCCACTAGTTCTTGCAACTGCCCGCCCTCTCCCTTGTATGCTCCTAAATGACTGTCTCATCACAATCGTTTGCAGTAGTTCCCACCATATGTATGTTAGAGCAAAAATGTCCAGTGGGACCTATCAGATGTGGTTTACCCACGACATGGGTGTCCACGGGTACCAGGAACTACATAGGCAGCTGCAGTTTTCCAGGACAATTTTTATCTCAAACACCCTCTTCTGTTGTTCCCTAAATCTTCAAAGTCCATGAGTGTGAATATTTCATCTCTTATCTATGTCTCCCAGTTTGAGCTCACAGTATGAAGCAACACAAAATTCTTTTGTCAGACCATGTGTCACACGCAATTTTTGTTTCAGAGAAGCTGAAGACCAGATTCACAGATCTTATCTCCTATGGCAACCTGTATGTCCAAACATTTGTGGTAACAACTTCCCTACCCTGAAGCCACTCGAGGAAGGGTCGCTGTATATTTCTAAGGGTTGTGCAGCATAGTAGCTAAAAACTGGAGGTCGCAGGAGCAGTGACAGAAGTGCCAAGGCAGGACATACAATGCACAGATTTTGCAGTCAGACAGGCCTAAATACAAATCCATCTCTACTACTTACTAGCTAAGTAAATGCCAAGAACTGCAAAGAGTCTTGGACCTTCTAAGTCCTCTCCTTGCTTTTACCTGGGAATGAAAAGGAAACAGGAGATCCTCCCCTAGCAGTTGGAGTTAGTCCCCCAACATCACCCAATGCAATAATAAAACAGTATCTTTGGTCTTTTGCACCCCCGGGGGCCTCTTTTTTTTTTTTTTTTCATTTTTTCTATATATTTACAACATTGTTTATTTTTAAACAATTGTTGCTTTCTTTTCTCAGGTGTAGTCCCCATAGAATTTCCATCACCAATTCACCCGGGCACCACACCATCACCACAGTCTCCTGTGCTCCTCCCTTCCTCCTTCTGGTCCCTCTTCCTCCCACTCCCCCGACTCCACCACCACCGCAGGATGTCTCTGATTTATAATTGTTTGTTTTTGTTTTGATGTGTATTTTTTTTGTTTTTATTTTTTTCCCTGATGCCTTATTTGGTTCCCCTATATCCCTCCTATAACTGAAACCATCCGATATTTTTCCTTTTCCTTTGACTTATTTCGCTGAGCATAATTCCTTCTAGCTCCCTTCATGTTGCTAAATGGCATTAGTTTATCTTTTTGATTGCTGAATAGTATTCCATTATGTACATATACCACATCTTCTTGATCCAGCCATCTATTTTTGGGCATTTGGCCAAAAATATACTTGGGCCACACATGCTGCTACGTCACCTTCATTTGGAGGCCTGGCCCACACTCTAATCCTTGTCTTCCATTGACTCTCCCTGTTCCCGTGGCTCCAAGCAATAATGCCCCTAACGGTAACTCTGGCACACACAGACCCTACAGCAAGGTCAGGGGTCCTTTCCTAGGGGGCCACACCTTGGGGTAGAGCTCTTTGCAAACCTTAGATGTATAACCTGGCTTCTAGATTGTCATCTCTCACCCCACAGGGTGCCGTGTAATGTTATGCATGTTTCTCCTGCACAGATGTGCCCCATCCAGTTGAGGAAAACACTGCAGCCACATAATTGCAAGGGGTAATTTTTCCTAAATCACACACACACACTGGCTTTTTCCAGCATCTGGCAGAGGCCCTTCTCCTGACCAAGTAAATGCCCTCCAAACAGCTGCCTACATTCTTCTCCCCTCGCTTCCCTCTCCCCATCATCCCCACAGCCCTCTTGTCTATCTTGACCTTCATTTATTCTCTCTACTATCTTTTCATCCCTTTCACATGCCCTGGTCTTTTTTTTTTTTTTTTTAAGAGTTCAAATTTTTATTGAACATGTTACAAAAGACCTTTAGTCAAAAAGACCAAAGCCCATGTCATCATCAGACTCCTCAGATTCTTCTTTCTTTGCCTCTACTTTCTTCTCCTCAGCTGGAGCAGCAGCAGTGGAAGGAGCAGGACCACCTGCAGGGGCAGCCCCTGCAGCTGGGGCAGGCCCACCAGCCCCTACATTGCAGATGAGACTTCCAATGTTGACATTGGCCAGGGCCTTTGCAAACAAGCCAGGCCAGAAAGGTTCAACATTTACACCCGCTGCTTTAATGAGCGCATTGATCTTATCCTCCGTGACCGTCACCTCGTCGTCGTGCAAGATGAGAGCCGAGTAGATGCAGGCGAGCTCCGAGACCGAAGCCATGGTGCGGGCGAGGGCTGGACAGACGCTGCCGCGCGCGGTGCTAGTCGCCGGATGAAGTGAGGGGCTCACCCCAACGCGGCCTTAGCTTCCTCGGAAGGACCGAGCACCTTAGCGACAGCTGAGGAAAGGAGCCCCTGGTCTTTTTACAGGACTACAAGGTCACGCATTTCATCTCAAGTGAGTCTAGACCCTCTTAATTCTGACTCCTAGAGACTCCGCAGCAGCTGTCTGAAGCCGAAGCATAAGAAAGGCTGCACAGCAACGTGTGGGCAGCGTTTTCTAAGAGCTAAAATACGCACCCAATTTACATGACTATTTGCATTTGTGTATAAATTATACATCAATATGTATCCTCCCAAGACAGTGAGTTACTAAAATAATTTTGCTACTTTCAAACTTGTCATTGCTCAATTTTTCCTCTCTCCCCCCTTGTAACAACACCCACACACATCTTTTCATTCTTCAGGATTTGAGTTAGGAAAGAGAGGGGAAGAAAGAAAAGAGTAAAGTAGAAGAGAAAACACAACAAAGGGGATAAAGATGAGGAAGGGAATATATCAATAAAATAATAAACATTTTTGATTAAAGAAATGAAGGATACCACTTTGATGGGCTTATAATGATTAAACATCACCTAATCCATGTTCAAGGGAAGTAAAACAAATATAAAATATACAACCTCTCCAAATTTCCTACTTCTGGCATGTATTATATATATATACACACACATTTATATTTATATTCAGCCTCTTAATTATAAGCAAATGTCATAAAATACTTCTGCTACAACTCTTTTGTGCCCATATTAAATTGGCTTTCTATGTGGCACTGTAAAAAGATCAAGTAAGGCAAAATGTGTCATAGAGGATGCTCATCCTATGAACTCATCAAGGACTTTCTCCCTGCTCCATATCACCCACCCCAAAAAATGCCTGTTTCCAAACAGGCATGGATTCACTGTAAGGCTATCACTGTACACATCCTGGACCAACCACACACTCTTTCTCCTAGGAATTTGGATTTGGAATTCTGAGATCCTGGGTAGTTTTGAGCCTCCCACCAAAACTCAGAAACTGGGTTTGCCCTCAGGGGACAGCTAACTTCAACTGAGTAGAAAGAAGAACAAATTACAACTGCAGTAAGAAAGAGAGAGAAAGTTTGAGGTCTAAAAAATGTCTGTACCTAGGTTCTGGTGGGTTCCTACCTACCTATCTGGTGGGTTCCTACCTATCCTACCTAAGCTACATTCCCCTTTTCTACCCTTGGAAACAATGATATACTATGTATGTTTATAATAAACTCCCCTTTTCTGTTCCAGCCTGTTTGGGTACATTCCTATTATTTGACCCAGAAGAGCCTTGACTAAAACCATTTAATCCAATTAATCCAGAGGCTTTTCCCATTCAATTTTGTATTTCTAATAATTTTTTGATATATTTGAAGTGCTCTGTGGATGATAGGACTTTTTTTTCCTATTAAATAAATGTGAACTCTTTAGAATATAGCCAGTTTGTCTCAGGAACTTTTCCTGACCAAAAAAAAGAAAGAAAGAAAGAGTGTTATATTTTCAGCCATTAAAATCAGATACTATAGGGACATGTATCACTTTGTGTTGCACAATAGATTATGACTTTGTGAATCACACATCTCAGAAAATAAAATATATCGAAGTTCAATAAAATTCTCACCCGTGGGTCTCACTTCTTCATTTCTGCCATCAAAATACCAATACCTCATTAAACGTGAACAAACATTGGAAATGTGCTAATTCAGTTAATAAATGCATGGAAGGAGCAAAAGGACAAACAAGAAAAAACAGCAAGAAGGAGGCGATAGTAATAAAAAGGAATAAATTCGATAAATTCTGCAAGGCAGACTGCAGGCTTGATAAGTAATTTATAATCGTAGAAAAGAAAGAAAACCTATGGTAGCGGATCAACAGAACCTAGCAGAGGAATCCGGGTCAGTCAGAACAGGGCCAGTTCTCTCAACCATATCTGTGCAGGGCACACAGAATTTAATATCAGAGTCTCATTGTGTATTCTTTCTCCTTGGTTGTATAAGTATAGAACAAAACTAATAAATGAAAAAATGCACATCTTTTGCATTGCCCATTTCTATTATAGAATTGGTAATTCTCAGCTAGTTTTTCAATCTTTCAATAAAGAAATATACTGCAGGTGCATACTTGTAACTTATATGACAATTCATGCAATATTTATCCCCATAAGCATAGGCTGGGAGCTACATGTGAACAAGAGACACAAGACCCGCCGTTAGTTGATACAGCATTTAGCTCAGTCTTGTATTCGTGATCTACTTCTCTGCTCACTGATATTAATAAAACCAGAGTTGGACTGGAAAACATACAACTATGACTATCAACATTAAAATCAGCATCTACTCTACACCAGGAACTTAGGTGCTTTCCACATATATTACAAATAATTATCTTTGTAATTTCACAAACTAGGTATCACTCCACTTAATTTAGAGAAAGGTCAATCAAGGTTTAATGACATTAAGTAACTTACCCACATTACACAGTAAGTATACAAGGGAGGCAGGATTGAAATTGTCTCTCTTAATGCAGAGTCTATATCTTCCTATTTTATCTGAACTCCATATAAACTATAATAAATTGTCACCAAGAGATGAAAAGAAAGGTATTCATTCTTTCACTCAGTTGCTAGTCATTAATTTTTATTTATTTTTTTAGTATCTCCTATCACAAAGCATAACCTCAGGGGGCACCATTCACAACATATTCCTCATTAACCTCTTGCCTAGTGCCTTGGAACTGTACCAGTTACAACTCTGTCTGTCTACCACTGGACAAAGCTTCTGAAAGATACAAATGTAAGGAAGACAGTCTCTCATAAGGAAAAAGTTCATTGTTGATTGTGGGGATAAAGAAAATTCTTGCTAACCTTAAAAGAAAACATAGTAATAGTCAAGAAAGGGAAAAATACAGTGGACACTCCAAAGCCAGCATCCAATTCCCCAAAGGGCTGCTTGAGGAGATTAATAAAGGACCCCTGTAGATACCATGAAGAATTTGCCGACTGTACAGGTGGTCTGCCATGGCCCACTGCTGCCAAACACACTCAAAGATGCCACAGGGAACCGAGGTGAATGGGAGCAGCTTTTTACATTTGTTTAATCTTTTGTGTTGATTTATCTCCCCCTGTGCTATGAGTGAGAGCAATTCATTCTTTCACCTCCTTCACCATTCTCTCTCTCTCTCTCACTCTCTCTCTCTATCTCTTTCTGTTTCTCTCTCTAATTTAAATTTATAATTCATCAGTGTTCCTCTTCATTTGGGTTTCAGTGCCTCAATTATAGGAAATGCAAATTCGCGTTCTCTTGCTACCTGCCCTAGCTCAATAACCACTTATCAGTATACTGGCTATATATGAAATTAAAGGACATTTGAAAAGACCTGTGGTTCTCAGAATAGACATTAAGGAACATTAAAAAGTAATGAATTCATATCTGGACACCACGTAAACTTACCTCATGTTATTTCTTTGGCTCATGGATGTCTGACATGTACTTATGCCTACAAAGTGAAGTATATTAGGTCAGGGATCTGATTTTAATTTTTTTCTCACATCTCTAATGTGATCTATTGCTACAGGTCCATAAAAGTATTAAAGTGATATCAATCACACATACGTGTGAACACACACACACACGTGTGCGCAGCGCCAAGCCTTCTACCCAGAGATAAACTGTATCTGTTCTTCATTTTCCTCCTACCATTCTTACTTCTCACTGCTACCAGGGAAGGAAGATATTAATTTTTTGCTCTAGTAGTCAGAAGATTAGAAGCATTAAAACAGATGCACCACAGTCATGTTTATTTGAGATTTTTTTTATCTAAAGACCAAAAGGAAGCAAATCTAATTGGCAGATACATGAAACAGAGCTGCATTCTCAAACAGATTATTTTCTTGCTGCTGACTTCCCTCTCTTGCTCTATCCAACATCTCATCTTTGCAAATATAGGGTTTGCTTTAAAATGAATCTCGAGAAATCCTCCCTGTCATTCAGCCATCCGGGGAGCAGTCCTCTATGGCATGGCACGTCCCTTCACAGGTGGCTACGCCTGCCGAGAGGACATCAGAGATTCCCCAGTGGGAAGGAAAACCACAAAACAGAAGGCTTTAAAGTCAAATAAAGATTTAAGTGAGAAAGGTTGTTTTAGTTAGAGGAAGAAGGAGTTTGGGGAAGGCAGCACAGAGGAGACAGAGACTAGACATAGAAAACAACTGTCCCCATCAATACAAAGTGAGCTGCAAACAAGTGGTGTCTTAGAGCAAACCAAACCTGTCAGATCCTTAGAAACCTGAGCTCCTGAAAATTCAGAGTCCAGGGTTTCACTCAAAAATTACTAAGTTAAGATCTCTGAGTACTGAGTCTAGGAATCTATGCACCAGATGGTTCCTACTTGGAATCATGGTCTTATATGACACACAAATTCACACTGTTTTGTCCGACTAGAAGCCAGTTTCAGCATTGCTGACGCAGATCCAGGAAGGAGCATGGGGGGGACATGGCACTGGGACCCTTGCAGCCCTGTTTAAGGTGGGGGACTGTGGGGCAGAGAAACAGACGCTCTCAGCAAGGAAATGGCTTTGGAATTAAGTGGCATGAACAGGAATGGAAAGGACAATATAGATGCAGAGGTATTACAAAGGCAAACATAATGGAATATGGCTGGTCAAATGTGAAACCTGTTCAGATATAGCAATTCTAAGGTTCTGATTTGTGTACCAAAGGCAGTATTTCTCTCCATCTCCATAATCACCAGCCTTGTTCTTACCTGCATTACTCCAAAAGCCTCCAGACCAGCGTCCCTATGTCCATTTCTGCATATTCCCTTCCTTCAGACCATCATAATCAAAGACTGTAAATCTGGTCTTACTATTCCTTTGTTTACTTTGCTGCAATAGTTCTTAGGACAAAGACCAAAGCGTTTAACATAGTCTCGAGGATCTGGCTCAGCCTCACTTCTCGCCACTCTACTTTTCGTAGCTCTTTCCTCCCTAAATTGTTTGTCAGTTGCTTTACTTGCAGTTTTCTCCTACTGCCATCTCCCCAAAACTTCTAGCAGTGCTGGTTTT